CAGCCTTTTCCCAACAGCCGTGAGCAGGGAGGTGATGGACACAGCTTTGGCCAGCAGCGGGTCTGTCTTGGGGCTGGCTGGAACGGGCTCTGGCCAATATGAGGGCAGCTGCTGCTCACAGAAGCTGTCCCTGCAGCCCTCCCACTTCAAATCCTTGCCATGGAAACCCAGTCCACGAGCCCAGAGAACCCCACACAGATGTACACAGCATCACGCTGCTTTCTTCCCAAAGGGCAGATGCCCCAGAGAGGCTGCCAGGCCCTGGGACAGAGCAGCTGCTGGGACACAGGGCAAGAGATTGTTGGTGTTTGTCCATGCTCCTGCTCCATGGTCCTGGCAGCGTCCTCGATGGAGAGGTAGCTGCTCTCCTGGTCACAGAGCATGCACGGGCTCCTGGATGCCCCCCTGTCACTAACTACAGACGTGTTCCACATAAAATGAAGTAGGAAGTGTAACTTGTGACACCTCTTCCCATTTTAAAGCTGCGGTGCTGTTCCTGGGTTGTACACCATCTGTGCTGGGCAGCTGTGTGGAAGAACTGCAGGACAACAAGAGCTCTGCTGCCCCTTGGTGGCCATCACTCCAGCAGAGTCCTGTGGGAATTTTTCATCCATTCGAGAGGACTTAACGATGTTTGGGGAGAAGGTATTGACTAAACTGTGCTGGCAGAAACTGGGGAAGCACGGCCAGCAGAGGAGAGGGTCCAGGTGTCACAGAGGACAAGGCCCCTGACCTCCAGATTTGAGAGCAACTCAATAAAGCAAGGACAGCCTTACATCCAGGGGCCACCAACACGGACATTGCAAACAAGTCCTTCTTTGGGAAGGCCAGACAGAAAGATTGGAGGCATGAAGAAAAATTATTAAAGACCACCACATGGCTCTGAGAGACAGATGGGACTCCTGGAGACACCAGCAGAAGCATGTCTGGTTCAGAGAGGGAAGACTGAGCCAGCTGTGCTAGCAAGGCTTCATCCAAAATATCAGAGAAGTTATTCCCAAATAACTCCCTTCACATAGTATACAGAATACCCCACAATGTCATAGACCTTGGCAAGTACTGGGATTTTGTACAGTCATAAGAAATTCTGCCTAATTACTTTATTTTTTCTAACCAGGAATTTGGGAAGCCCATATCCTCTCTTCCTGCCCCAGGACCTGACATGCTTCACTGTAGCTACTACTTCCATAGGCACCCAATTCATATATCTTCCTTATTTATGTCCTCCTTTAAGCAAGGATTAAGCATTCTCTACAATTAAAAAAGTTGCATTAAATTGCAGAAAGTAACATTCAAGACAGAGCCTTTTACTTGCTACTGTGTGTAAAACTTTAAATAATGAAATAAAACATGATACTTGAAGATTGTTTATTTTAAATGGTATTCTGAAATTCGTGGCTATATACAAATTTTCCAGCTATGAAGCTTAAGATTGCATGGTGACTGTCTTCACAAAGTAAGGCTGCTCGGTCAGTAATCTCAGAGCTGATTCCATTGAAGTGGGATTACTCAGAGTACAGGATGGCTTCAGGAAGCTTGTAATCCATGAAGGCACCAGCACCAAAGGAGGGAAGACTTCCTACATAAAAAGCTAATCAAGGGACCCCTGGGATGCCATGGGACCTTTGCTGAATTTGAGAGCATCACCAGCAGGGAAAGGCCTGAGTGAAACCAGTGGCCACTGTGGAAAGGCCTTTATACTGCACTCACAACCTGCAGACAGGTACACACTGCAGGGGCTTTTCCATGCCAGTCGTACTCACTGTGCTTTATTCCTCACTCAGCTGGGCCAGTGACAGGACAAAAACACAGAAAAAGGAAAAAAAAAAGCAGCTTACGCTACTATGGCAATTTAAGAGTGATCTTTAGAGACAGAATCTTTTTAGGGATAACTAATAGGCATGAACGGGACTTATGTCAATGCTGAAACTTCAGTTTAGATACCAGACACAGGGATGGGATGAAATGTTTCACCCCGCAGCCAACAGACAGAAAGTCTTCACTTCTGGGAATTCCCATGGAAGACAGATGAGCTGCTGCCTCCTCTCATGTTCCCCAATACTAAAGGCAGAGATATGCTTCATGAGTTTGTTTTATACACAGACAATTAAAAATACATTTTAGTAATGTTTCCCATTAAAACCTTACCCATATCACACTACTGAAATCAGTGCAACAAAATGACAGGAAGGAATATTTACAAGCATATTGTATTGTACCAAATTTGCAAGACAAGAAATTTCTAAAGTGCAAAGTTGTCTCTATTCTACATAGACACAGGGATCCATTTTCCTGCTTGTTGTACAAACAACTACCATCGTTACAGACACACCACAGATCCATGCTGAACATCCAAGTGACCAAATGCCATCCCTAGGCTGACAGGCAAAACTCTACCAAATCCAGTGGGAGGCAGACATCAGCATCCAAGGGCCAGGTTTAGTCCCCCAGCTGTAGGTGTGTCACATGCTGGATGGAGAGTAACTACTGAAAACCCAGGAACACGAAACATAGGAAGTGTATTTAAATACATGGAAAAAGTATATTTAAATACATGGAGGGAGGTATTTAAATAGAAATCCTACAAAGAGCTGAATGGTTTGGTTTATAGTAGATTAAAGACAATCACTGCTTTTCTTAAAGCACAAAACAGAGGGCCCAGCACTCCGTATTTTATTCAGCTGCAGTTCTGTCCTGCTTCAGACGGGGCACAAATTTTTAAAGACTATTTACACCAACAAGATTTGCAGGCTTAGCCGTGAGAGCCTCTCAAACCAGAGAGAGGCCAGAAAAACAGGCTCTTGCAGCATTAGAATATTAAAAAGTCACTGTTCAAAATACCTCACTCTTAAAAATTACTAAAGGGAGCTATAACAGAAGGACCATGGCTGCTGGGTTTCCAGATTCATGGAAACTCCCAGTTCATTCACCCATATTCTTAAGCATATTGGACAGTTAATCTATATCCTATTTACAGTAATTCCTGCTACTAGCCAACAAAACCAAAAGAGAAAGCTGCTCATTGCCTCACAGCTCTCTCTAATTTGCAAACTAAACAGTCTCCAGCTTCTTATTTTTTGGCAAAACCATCCAATGTTTGCCACAGGATTTTAGCTACAAGTAAACAAAGTTTGTCTTGAAAAGCAACACATGTTAAGTGAATTAGTTTGTTCCATTAGTCTATTTTTAAACTACTACATCATATTTACTGAAACAGCTATGGCGTAAGAGGTTACACTGCTAGGCTTAAGTAATGTCATCATCTGACACAATTCACTTGGTTATGCCCCAAAATTATTTACAGTGAACTTGATTCAGAAAAACCACTCGGTTTGAGAAAGCGTCCAAAGAATTCCAAGTCCATAAAATAATCTTTCCTACCAAGATGTTTGGGAACGATTTAGTCATGATTTGTTAATTTGATTTTAAGATATTCCTCTACTGGAACCCACCCATGAGTAGGAGCTGCATGGGAAATGAATCCCAGGACCAACATGTGCATTAGGAAATAAGGGTATGTCTGTGCCACAGTTTGTAGCAGATGGAAGGGAAAATGAGGGGAGGAGGGAAAACAGGATCTAGTCTACAGATAAAGAAAACTAATTCAGTTGAGATGTGTATTGACAAAGAATTCTGAAAAACAGTGAGTAGCTAAAAAAATTGTAATTATGAAACTGAGTTAACTCAGTGCATCTTGATCCTTAAAGGGGGAAGGCTGAGCAAATGTTGTTGACTACAGCTGAAATACATTTTTAGAATTAAAATCTATATAAGAAAACTAATTCCACACTCCACTCTGGCAAAACCTAAGCTGGTCTTTTAACAATGCAAGAAGTCTGAGTCAGCTCATCAAGTTAGGAACAGATTTGAGTAACTCTTCATGAAACATACCACAGGTCCCTGTGCAGCACCAGAAGAAATGGAGCCATTGCAGGTACATATTCTTCTTCATACTCATTATCCTCTAGGCCCCTGCAGAACAGAAACTTCTTCCAAAGAAATTCAGCTCACTTTACGCTTATTTTTATGTGCAGAACTGACAGAAAGAAAAATCCATCACGGGAAGCAAGGAGGTCTGCATTTGATCAACACACAACAGCCAGCATTAAAAGTCTCTTTGCCTTTTGTATCAACAAATTTTGTAATTTGGTCCAGTATCTCAGGAAGAGTCTTGAGTTCCCTATTAACCTCATCGGCAGCTTTTGTTCCACAGGCCTTCAGGGAGTTACACACCTGCTCTCTAAGCTAAGTGACTCCAAGCCCCATGAAAGATTTTAGAAGCACCGAATTACAGCACAGTGGAAGGTGAACAAAGAGTACAAAGTGTGATTACAGTCAGGCTGCTGTTTCTTTCTCAGGCAAAGAGAAGTGCAGCAATTGGAACCCAGGGATTGCAAGGCTCTCACTTCACACATGCATCATATGCCTTTGCACTTGCAGCAAATCAGAAAGATGTTTTTGTTGTCACGGCTGTTTTGCAGTGCTCAGCACTAAAGAATGCTGTCACATTTTCCACAGCAGGCAGAAATGGAAGCAGCAAGTTCTGCAAAATCCTTTCTTTCTTAGCCTTGACTGGGCTTGGCTTCTGGCAAGTTTTCTTCTGAAAGAGCTGATTTCAGTGCAATACTGCAAAAGCTGAGAAGCAGCACTGCTTACACAGAGCATAAAGGAAATCTAGAGCTTGGCTTCCCAGCTGTACCATCAGCTCTTCAGCTCATCTTTCCTCCCTGTTCTCCTGACAACTTCTTATAGACACCACCCAGATGGAAACACAGCAACTTGATTCTAAATCCATTACCTTAGAAGACAGCTGCGGGAATTCCAGTGCCAAGAGATTCGAACTGTCTGCAGCTTTCAAACTTAACAAAGCTCTGAAGATTCAAAAACTCTGAATGAATGACACAGGGATGCTTTGCTTTTAAGCATTTCCATATTGCTTGCTGCATCACTTTCAGATACACTTTGATATTAAAGGATTTGGATTAAAGGACAGACAAAGATAAGGTACCTTACTACAAATTCTGATATAAAAACCCTAATCTACAGAGGAAAGAATAGAGGTTAATAGTTTCAGAACATAAACTGTGCTCCTGTTATAAAGAACTTGAGGTTTCCCCAAGTTCTGTGCAAGTCCTGTGAAATACCATAGGAGTGTTACAAACCAAACCCAGATTTTCTTCCCTCACTACAATTAGGTGAATTGGAACACGACAGAGTGCTAAGCCTGAATGACAAAACTTGAATAAATATAACTGTTCGTGCAAACTTCTGTTTGCAGAATTGGACATGACACAGCATATAAAGTAATGGAAAAATCCTCAAGCATTACAATCATGATACTTCCTTTGCTATTTGTGGGTAAAACTAAACCCACAAAAAGAAACTCCCTAGAGGCACAATAGGAACATTTAAGCCCACTCATTCTATGATATCCCACTAAAATCAAAAATAAATCAGATATAAATAACCTCCTATAAATCCACCACATTCTTAAGCAAGATATTAACGAAGGTAAATTAAATTAGTCTTCTAAATGTAAAAAGGAGAATCAATAAAAGATCAGAACTAAAGCCCCAGAGTCCTATGAATAGGAGTTTCAAAGTGACTTCAAAGCACTTATGGCACTTAAGAAATCTGGCATCCACTGTCTTTTTGAGGCTTTATATCTGGTTCCTTCAGAGGTTTTACTTCTTCATCTGGTTTTGGTTTAGCCTGCAAACAAGAATAAAAAAAAACCCACAACTAAATACCGTAAGTACAAACCACAGTGTCTGCACAGTACTTATGCACAGCTAACTTTACATGTTATAATCTAATAGTGCCCTCTCTTTTCAAGTAAGCCTCAAGCAAGATGGAAAAGCCAACTGTTGTCTGTTTCAGCATCCTTAAATGAATCCTTTTCTATAAACCAATCTTTCTCTAGCGTTCACTCCTGTAATGTTACAGGATTTGGTAAAAAATGAGCTGATTTTCCAGATGCTGGCAATGTGGCAGAGGTTAATTGACTTGCCCCTGGCACAACAGAAGGATGAGCTTAGGTGGTAGCCTTGTGTCTGCTTCCTACACTGAGCTGGGCAATGTTACAGAAGAGCCAAACTAACTCTGAATGATACAGAAAATAAAGCCAGAGGGAAAGAACAGCACATAGGATTATGTTACCGTGTCATCCTTTGGCCTCTTGGTGAGATCAAATGCTGCAACTGTTTCAGAAGTCCAGTGTGCATTCAAGGCAGGAAGCTCGAAAGGAACAGGCTCTACTAAGCCATAGTTTGCTTTCAATTCCAGCTGGGGAGCCTCTGCTGGCACCTTCTGGAAATAGCTGGAACAGAATACAGAAATGTATTTAAAATACAATGGACCATCTCTGCAAGTCGTTTGCAATTCTAAACGGAACAATCTGGGTTTTCACAGTGGCAAACACTGCTGCTCTCTTCAATAAGGCACTGCCTAACGTGCATTCTGCCAGCAAGGTTCACAAGAATAAAAGCAACTCCTTCTTAGTATTATTGTTTGTTCCCTAATTGTCTGGTGCATTTTCTCCTACTTAATAACCATTATTGCCAGTGCTTCAATGAGAAGAGCATATTTTGTCAAAAGAAAACCCCTTCAAAATACAAATGAGGATTCAAAGTACTTCTCAAAGAAGAAGAGGACAGTTCTTCTCCTAAATAGTCTTAATGTGCCAGTGGATGATGGCAACACAGCAGCCCCCCAAAGACTGGCTACAGGGCAAAGCCTCACTCAGGGTGTCCCTCTGCCCTTGGCCAGCAGGAGCTCGCACACAGACACCAGACACCCTCTGCTTCATTTCCTGTGCTGCACAGAGCTCTCCCAAAACAGTCACTGCTTTCTCTTTCCAAGTTTTGTTCTAGAGGGATATGGATGTGTTGAAATCTCCAGTAAGCTGCTGTTGTGAGCTCTGACAATGGGTATTTGAACTAAAGCAGAGCAGAGCATTTCTCTTACTATTTGCAGTTCACTTTGGTGTACTTGACCATCCTTTCCACTTAGTCAGTTCCCCTATTATGGAGGTCTTTAAATATCATAAAAATGGAAATAGCAAACCTCTTATGGAA